AATTTATATAATTAATAATTAATATATAAATATAAAATATCTGATTTTTGAATGAACAAACCTTGCATCTGATTTTTGAAGTTGGATTTTGAAAGATTGGGTTTGGTGTAATTTCCACTTTATACAATCACCGCATCACCAAACTTTGGAACACTTAGGCTTGTATCTGGTGTTGGTTATTCAGTTTGCGACGTCAATAATAATAATAACCTGGACTTGAATGAAGAAGCGTCATTGCTCACAGAGGATAAGAAAATTCATGAAGCTGAAGAAATTGACAGGATTGTGAGACCACATTCATCATGGTCAAAAGAGGCCTCATTCAAGGGGCAACTAAATGGAGAACTTCCTATTAGCCATGGATGTAGCTTAGTTCAGACCATATTCAATGGTGAGCAATATACAATATTGGACCATACTAGACAATACAATGGACGTGATTTTAACTTATTTTTCTTTCTTAATACTATCGAGTACTGTTTGATCTACCTTACCAAACATGATATTAAGAGCTTATCATGTGACAATATAGGTGTCAATGTAATGGCGGGAGTTGGACTTCTTTCTACACCATATACGGTTAAAGAAGCTGGATGGGCAAGTTTAGCTGTGCTTATTCTCTTTGCATTTTTCTGTTATTATACCGCTTTACTTATGAAACATTGCTTTGAAAGTAAAGAAGGCATCTCGGCCTTTCCAGACATGGGAGAAGCAGCATTTGGAAAATATGGGCACATCTTATATCAGTAAGTGTTAATAATTGAGGTTCCATCTTAAAAGGTCAATTTCATTAAGAGGAGTAGCCCGCCTATTAATTGGTATGTGTCAACATCATTTCTCCATGTGGGATATATATCCCTTAACACGCCCCCGCAAGATGGTGGGTCATTTGAGCAAACCAATTTTGAAATCCACGTGTTCATTTTAGGAGTCTTAACGGGATCAAATCGCTCGTTGAACATAATGGGCTCTGATACCATATTAAGAATTGGGGTTCTATCTTAAAAGGTCAACCTTATTAAGAGGAGTAGCATAAGATCTTTATTAATTGGTCTGTGTCAACATCATTTATCGATGTGGGATATATATCCCTTAACATGTTAAGAATTGGGGTTTCATCTTAAAAGGTCAACCTTATTAAGAATAGTAGCCCAAGATCTTTATTAATTGGTCTATGTCAATATCATTTATCGATGTGGAATATATATCCCTTAACACGCCCCCGCAAGATGGTGGCTCATTTGAGCAGACCAATCTTGAAATCCACGTGCTCATTTTAGAGTCTTAACGGGATCAAATCGCTTGTT